CCAATCTCGACGGCGTTATTCTGTGGTTCTTCTTTTATATTTACCTTATTGGTAAGGTTGCGGCCCTCTGCGAGGCCGAGCGAGGTTAAACTCGATCTATGATCGAGCCGATCTTTGATCGAGAAAGACAATAACAGGTGCAATTGAACACCGGGTACAATTCATAACCGGGTACAATTCATAACCGCAGACATAGATTACAAGCTTGACAGGTAATGATGGGGGAGAGAAGAAAGCCTTGAAAGTATGACACCAACAAAAAAGGTATACATATAAGGCCACATCCAGGCACGTTCTGTTAGCTTCACGAGGAGGAGTATATATCGCTAGAATAGCTAATCCACCGCGCGTTATGCTCGATCTGAACTGCATCAGATTTCACCTGGCGAGAAGCATATCATTAGGGGACGAAATTTTGAACTCTAGGTCCTCCAGTCTATTTGTTCCCTTTTGTTAGCATACCATCGCATCGAGAAAGACCAGAAGCCATGAAGTGACCCCAGGTCAAGCACTTGAAGTCAGCCGCCTAGGCCGCCCCATTCTCAGCAATCTTATCCTTACTCATGTCCAACATCACTACCGCCATGTTCTTGTCCACCTGTGTCCATTGCAAGTGCTTGAATAATCACTGGTCATCGCACTTCGACAGTAAACAGCTCCATCGGCGTCGGTGTCGCTTTGGTCATCATCATGTAGATACTCGATAGCGTTGTCGATGATTATTTGACTGTTTAGTACTCGATAGCCACTGCCAGAAGGTGTAAGTAGCGATGTGAATCGAAAGCCGTTAGTCCTGATATAGACGAGAATAATGCAGCACCGTCGGTAAATGCTTCACTCCTGGCGGGTAATAGCCTCTTGCACTCCGTCTTATATTTAAGTCCCGCATTTCTCGTTAAAAAAGCCCCTCTGGTGTAGTGGCAGCACAGCCTCGTATATATATATTAGTCCAAGTCTGCTGAGTGAGATTCCTGCCGGTGGTCTAGTTTACTAGTACCTCCTCCGGCAAAGGAGGAAACGAGACAAACCGGATCCAAACACTGTACTGGTTCGAAGTACTGTGCGGCATTCGCTTCTCCCGGCTTCAAGCTACAATCTTTACCAAGACCTCTGGACTGGGAATAACTCCCGTGTACGAGTATCTACGATGGAAAACCTGGGTTCGAATCCCAGGAGGAGCAACAATCTTTTTTTGGCTGTCAGGGAGCATGGAAATGGTGAACGGTCAGTTGTAGTGTGCACTTCAATAAATGTACTAGATCGACGGTGTGGAGGGTAGCTCGTGAATAAGGATGTTGGAGCTAAAACCGATCGAGCTCTTAAGTCCGTTGGAAACATATAAAGATCAATTGGGAGTAAGTATTTATACTGATCTGAATAGAATTTTGCAGCTCTAGCTAGCTTAAATTGAGTTATTGTAGAAGTACGATACAAGTTAGACCCCAGTCCGTGTGCCTCTATCAGGGCAACCAGCACAAGTCACTGTAGAAGAAGTAAGATATAACTCAGACCAGAGTCCATGTACCTCCATCGGTCCAACCAACACCCATTCAGTGGTACGTAGTCACAAAGTAGCGTCCTCGTCAATGGACTTCCTGTGTAGCCAGCTGAGCATGTCCATTGTGGCGCCATAACTTCTTGTTTCTTCCTCCCACACAACGCCCGCACATCGGTCCGCTCTTTCTCTGGATAATGTCTAGGCCAGCGAAGGTCCAACATGCACCTAGGTAAGTGGGTGCTTCGACGGCCATGACTGCTGCAGGGTAGTACGGATCCATGTGCCACCTTTTGGACACCCTGTCCTCCAGTGATTCAACGAACTGAAGATGTACCCAGCCGGTGGTCCACAATAACACCCTTTCGAGCATTGCCAGCCAGTCTTGACAATTGGTTTCCTCTGTTTATCACAATGAGACCTCATTGACTTCCGTGCTTTGTCCCTAGGCTTAGGCCATTCCAGTTCCAAGCGGCACCGGGGAGAATGAGTGCAAGGTTGATTGCGGGGTGGACGGCAGAGATTCCGATGACGGTTGGTGTAAGCGGGCTCCATATGGAGATGGAACGGATCGGAACACATCCTGTTGTGACACAAATGTGAACCCTCAAGGCCGGGCTGAGCCACGAGCCAGACCACCAAATGATCTTGGAAATCGGCCGGAACGTGGTGGTCGTAAAGACCAAGCAAGATACCATCGAGGACTCCACGTTGAATCCACCACTTGTGTTGAGAACCGCCACAGGCATTGCAGGACGCCGACAAACTGGTGCGGTCATAACCAGTACTCCATGGTACATATTCGCGCACAAGGCAATGACCATCCACAACAGAAAACTCTCCACAATTGCCCGAAAGGATTGTATCGACCTTCTCTTGTATGCAACCTGTGCCGCCACCATAACTGTCCAGCTCTGCAATGGCCTTTGCTCGCTTGCTTTCAACCCAAATAGGGTCAATCAGGAGTTTGATCAGACACCGCAAATTGTTTCGGTCAGTCTTGCTCTGCCACTAAGCAAGCAGACGATCGATTTCAGCTGTCTCTTCAGGTGTTTCAGCATGATTGTATGTTCCGGTGTGACTGTTGTACTTCCTCTCAGATGAGAAGGTAGAATGTCTAGAAGCAGGGGGATCCGTGGTGTTGGACTGTCGAGGCTGGGTGCCATCAGGCATTCCCAGAGCCGGAGGCATCGAGGTTTGGCTGATGCCAAAGGAGGTTCGCTGGGTGTCAGCATTATCGTGGTTTTTGTTGAAGCAATCATCATCATTGTCGTTATCATTAACAACAACTGCAACATCATCATCGTCATCACTGTCACGATTAGCTTCGATCAGGATTCAATGGCACGTGAAGCATACCTGATCAGGATCGTGCCGTTAACTTCTGGTTGTACGGCAGCTCGTCCAGCATCAGTGCTACTGCACAGGTCAGATTCATCAACAAACATTTCCAATTACGGAGAAAGATTGTGTTCGACATACCCATCTCTTCTATTGAGGGTATTTCCATCAAGGCTTGAGAGTGGGACACGCGAACTGGTCGTGTCATGGCGTGAGGGAAGGTCATAATTGAACTGCGTATCATCATCATGCCTGTACAATCAGTTTGCGGACATGAGCATTGCGTAGGATTACACGTACTCGGCATGACGAGAGCTGGGAGAGAAAAAATGCTTCAACGAACGTTGCATCGACTCCGGTTCCAGACGGACTCGTTTTGGCCGCCCCCGACCCGGCATCATGGATATGATGAGAACCAGTTCTGGAGGTTGAGGTTTGTTCGAAATGAGAGGATTTTTGTAATCAGTGCTCTGCGGGACGGCAGAGCACGCAGTGAATGGTTGTAGGTCAGTGCTCTGTGGAATGGCAGAGCACGCAATCGAAGCAGAGACCCACGCCTTGTTACCACAAGACAAGGCAAGAGTGAGGTGTGAGTGAGTGCTTCAAGCAATCTCGGAAGTAAAGAGACGGACAAGACAATCGTGATACTCGAACAAGATAGCACAAGACAATGAAAAGAAAGATGAAACAGCTGGGTGCCCTTTTGGCCGCTCGGAGAAGAAAGAAAGTGAAAGTATGGAGGGGAGGAAAGGAAGTCAGAGTTGGGAAGAGCAAACACTCATTATAGATTCGCCAAGAACGAAAAGCCATTGCCGCCTGAAAATGGACTAAGGAGGTGAAGTGAAAGAACATTCATTAAGGGCAGGCACGGCCTCAATTCAGCCTGCGGCCACCCCAGCTTTCCAGTGTAACCGGCCTCATGCACATGGAGTTACCTGAATGGAAGACCCCTAGTAGTTATGCATCGAAAGACCTGCGCACAACCTGGAACGTTATCAATGTCAGGCCACAATCAATTGCTGCTCGTACGCAAAGAGTCAAAATCAATGGGAGGTGAGCAACACATATGAACCGATTCCTGATATCGAGGTGTACTTTGCCCCCACTTCTGCTGCTTTGTCTCCGTACAATCACTTAGATCCACAAATGAAAGACCAACACATTCGCTAGGCTGGTCCATATGGACTTAGTGAGTCGCGCAGTGTGTTACCTGAGGCCGATTGCTATCATTGTTGCTGTTGTGCTGTTGTACTTGACATTGACCTTCCTGGGATGACGTTAGACTTAGATGTCAAATGATGTGATGTGTAAGCGATATTGATGCCTCGGAACAAATTTGATTGGCTCCTTTCTCTACCAATGGTTAGCAGTGACCACTGTTTTGTCCGCCATCTGGAAATGCCAGATCGAAATGGCAGATAAGCTATACAATTCAAAGTCGGCCTTCAAATTGCCACGTAGTTCAAGAGTTGACTCATACGGATGGCTAGCATGAGAATTACTGAATCTTGTGCACTACTAGCTTTGATTGTACTCGTGTCTACGTACAGTACGCGTACTGTAAAAATGTATCTTTTCGTGCGAGCTTTGTGCTTTTCTGGAACCCTGCGAATTTGCTCACGCATTATCCATCTCCGCTTAGGTACATTATCCCCGTCTTCGGTACGGTCATCTGAGTGGATTGGGAAGCCCTGTATGATATTCCATGCATGCTGTCTGAGAAATGTGTGCCAACTCCGAAGGACTGTGGCAGCACCGTGCTGATGCCAAACTGTCAAACGGCAAGTTCTCGCGGTGGCGCACGGCACAGTATTACTGGTCCGAGACCGTCTGACGACGGCTCGTTTCATCAACACCAAGTGCCGTTTAGCGGCGAGGCGAGGTCTTTGGCGCAGTGGGTAAAACGCTGCCGACGATGGGTAAAAGATGCGCTTTACGCCTATATTTACGTGGGTAGTACACGATTAGGAGTAAAGGCAGAGCAATCAATGTATTTTATCAAGCACACTGTTTGACACAAACACCCCAGCCAGCGTGCTCACTACGAGAAAACAAAGATTGAACGAAGTCGCTCACCACCCTGCTGCCCGAGGATCACACAACTAAGTGATCATACCCGTCGCTGTTAAGGCCAAAAAAAATGATGAAGAGATCACGATACTATTGAACTGAATAGGATCCGAACCTACGTCCTTGAACTCTTCCAAACTTTCTGAGTAGCTTCGAGGCACTCAGAATGAATGGATACTTAGCTCCTGCTCTGACCACTGAGCTACCAGTTTCTTCAGATATTTTGAGAGATTGTTCGCGGCTTCAATATATGAGCTTATCACTGTGTCCAGACTTGCATTTCATGTGATATAATTAATCACATTATAGGGTCGACAGCTCATACGCTGCATTTCCCCCTTAGGACCGTTCTGTTCAACTTTACCCCCGCCTGCTACCAGAGCGATAGAGCAACATGCTTTTGGTGCCGCGTAACTGCTCGATCACAAAATATCACAAATCAAGATCGGAGGATACAAGCATTAGCGAGGTGCAGAAGACAGTTCGCCCTTCGAGGGAAGGGTCCAAACAATTCTATGGCATCTTTACGGGAGAACCAGGAGGAACCACCCAGACATGACTTGGAGTTGGGAAATGAATCTTACCATTGTGAAGGCCGAGCCTAAAATACTGGTCACAGTAAGCGACGCACAGATGGAAGAACTACACTTTGATGCGTGTCGACGATTGCCACGCATGTTCCGACGTGGTGCATGTATGCGCCGATGAGGCATTCAGAAAGAGAACCATATCAGCCATACCTACCGCTTTTGAATCAGCCCCCGAACGATTTCTCCTTCCACGATAGTTGCCATCCCAATTCCTCACCATATCGGCACTGCCGCTCCTCATTGCAGACCATGCTACCCATGCCAGATTGGCGTATCATCCTGTTCGCTCACAGTGATGTGCCGTATTTCTGCACCGAGGAACCTTTGATCACTGCCTCTACGCGCGAACACCGCAAAGCTCCTCCAAATGCGACGTTGCCTTTTCGGGCGAAGTGGTGAGTGTAGTCGTAACGGGAGTGTGATATGGGATGCAAGCAATTGGAAGAAAACACTTGACCTGTGCGATGAGTGAGTGGCCTTCATCCCTAGCCAGCATCACTCGATTCTCTTTTCGAGGCTACTGCCATGCGCCATCGTCAATTGACATGACCCTCTTCACAGCGCGCCAGATACAACACTCAGAATGTTGACGTTTGTAGCCTTGCCCGGAACGGACGTGAGGGGAAAATACTGCCGCAGGCAACAAAGATAATTCAGGCTGCTGAAGCAGGCAGCCCCCAAAGACAGTCGCCGAAGACAAGCCCCCCGGCTCTCGCCCTCTCTAGAGCAGCTTCCCAACAACTCCTTCGTTTCGCCAAATTTCTCGTTGAACGCCATATGAATCCTCATTCAGCTTTTCAATGTCCCTGTTATATAGCCGATCCAAGTCGATATGATTAAAGCACCGGGTGAGATGGGTCCAGGGTAAAGGCACAATGTTGGTTTCAACGAGCCTGGACGGAGGTAGCGACAGTGAGTTGGACAATTTTAAGACGGATAATGGTCGAGCACACACGATCATCAGACCTGGCGTAATACGGTCAAGTACGGCAGGGCGCGCTATCCCGATGACTCTTACCTGGACAGCAACAGTCTGCGCATCAGTCGACGACAGCACATTTGCGCACAGTTGTCTTGGTCCTAACGTCTTGGACAGGAACTTCGGCCAGCCAGGTGTCGACGAAATACACCGACCTTGCATATTCTGCTGGCTTATCATCTCGCCAACATCGAGATATTTGGTTAACCCGCCAGGTTCTGCTAACATTCACACCAACCGCAGGCTAAAACGATGAGACTAGAGCTGAGAAAAGCAGCGCTAATTACGGAAGCAAGAACCTGGGGCTTTGCCTTACACTATGGGGCCTAACCAGGTAAACTCACTTCGTGGTAGAGGTGATTTTACCCTTCTTGCGACACGCGCATTCCTTATCGTGAATTGCTTACGTCTACTAGTATCACTGGAGCGAGTACTCTGGCTAGAGCAGTATACCAAAAGTCAATTGTTTTCTCAATACAGATACCCCCCTGGGCGATGATGGTATCCCCAGGCACACGACGTCAAAAACGAGAAGACCATTCTCCGAGCACATAGCATCGAGACCGAGAAGACCACCTTCCAGTCTGTCATGGACATTCGAAGCCGAGGTCTTCTAGGATCAACAGATCGGCAGCACCTCTGGGCCACTCACAAGCATGGAGAAAACTAACCATTGAAGCGCATTGGAGGCCGCGGCGCGACAATGCTGCAAACAAGGAGTCGAAAATACAATACCGCTCGGGTGACTTCCCTGCGACTTTTCGCTCTCGCGATACCTCTCGACTCAAACCCTCTCAACTTCATCACAAATGGACACTAACACGTACCAGGAGCCCTCCATCTCCAGAGTCCCTCCGTATGCGAGCCGCAGCACACTCGGAGCAGACGATGGTCCCCTGTGGGAAAGAGGACACCCACCCCACCCACAATAACCCTGGAGTGGCTCCCAGGTGGCTTCTCGTTCTCAAGATATTTCTCGCACAACGCCCTGACAATCTCCTCATCACCCTTTCTCATCCAAATGATGGCACGCCTCTTCCTGATTCGCACCTCATTCTCCTGCAGGGAATGAAGAGTGCCGAATCCTGCGCGGAGGCGCCTTTGACCATCTCCCGCTGCGCTCCGACATCACCAAAGGACACCCGTGCCACGTCGTCTTTGTGGACGAGGAGCAAAGGCATCTAGCCTTGTCATACCACAGTACTCGGATGATCAATGCCCAGGATGGGCTCTTGTCCGTCCCCAGGCTCTCATTGGCGCAACCATCAAATCGCAAAATCTTGTTCGTCAAGAGCATTGTGCTTGGACGCCGTCGCAAACAGCATCGTTACGCCTAGTTCATTGAGAACGCTATGGTCTACCGCAGGCCTATAAGGTGAGAGACGTGGTACCACTAGCCATCTCCGCCGTCGAGAAGTCGGCAAGGAGCAAAGCCATGATGTGTATCTCCAGTCGTAAGACTGCATCCTCGCGGGCGGTGGGTTTATCTAAAGTCAAGGAGTACCATGGACTCGGTGCTCACGTTGGCCATCAGATTGCTGCCTGTTGGAGGCCTTCCAGAGTCAGCAGGTACCACCGATTGGGTGAACACATTGTATCGAGTTGCTGTGATCGGGTCCATTTTGACGAGGTCGGGTGAGTATCGTCAGGTCGATCTTCGAAGGAGTTATGTCATCAGGTGGTTTCAGAGAACGCTATGTGAATATCGTCATGTCTCAGACGACAAAGCCGGCTGTGAGGAGGTGTTGCAGTGGAGAAAGCTGTGGAAGGCTTATGCTCGCTGGTACACTCATTTAGGAGGGCTTGGGTTCATTCAAGTTTCACTTCCTTCTTCGGTTTAGGCCTTCTGGTTCCTGAGTAGGGGCCCGTACAATGGAAGCTAGCAAGCCATTGTTCTCCTTCGGAAGAAATTTCGTGGAATCCAGTGCCTGGTGCCGGCTGCATCGGACCAGCGTGATCATACTTGCCTTTGACGTCCCAGTGTACAGGAGCGTTTAGCTCACCTTCTCCCCTCTTTCCAGAATGTCTGAGGGCTGTCCGGACTATCGTGCCCGTGTGGTGTGTGCCTTGAGCAGCCGAGTCTTAGGTATAGGCGCCGCGCATAATGGCATCTTAATGCCAGCAAAGCCTACCGTGACCAAGGTTGTCCTGACATGTGAGGCACCAGGCGACTCCGGATACATTCGCCAACCCTGGCAGCCAATCACGAAAGACCTGTCAACTGATGCGCACACCCTCAGAACGAACGAGGCTTGGAGTTTTGCGACTGCCAGAACATAAGACGGGTTTCCCTTCCTGCGCCATGCAGTCACTCGGCATCCTCCTGCCGCAATTCATCCTGATCAATTGAGCAAAGTGCTGCAACTCTGACTGGACAATTATATAAGTGCACCAGATGCTTCAGATATTCGTAACAGGATGGTTACATCTGTGTTCGGGACTTACGCATTTACTCCGGACCAGGCGGAGGCAAGTCAGTGCCTATCACGGACCTTCGTAGGCATATAAACTGATCGAAATACTGTACGAAGGAGACTATTAATAAGTGTTGTTGGCCGAGGCGCTAAGATATTATGCGCTCGGCTATGATTTTACGGAGGACTTATCATTACTCGAGGGCCGTACGGGCCTGTCAGACTATATACCTTTCCGGAGATCGTATATTAGTGTACGACGCGCTCCTAAGTCATCGACGATCGTTAACCGTTATTATATCCCTTAGCACCGCCAAATGGCTTAATAATCACACAGCAAACCTTCCAATCACACGTGATTAGAGGTTTCGCCAGTCACTGCCGTGACATTGCCACTATCACCAACCACAACGACTTGCACATCTAGGAGGAGCAATGGAAGGACATCACGCACAGGCCGATCGGGCCTGGGATGGTGGGACACGGCGCCTGTTGGTGGTTCTGACGAGGAGGATTACAGCAGAGGCAGGATGGCACGCTATGAAGGCTTTCGCAGGGCGAATATCGGAATGTTCACCGGTCTCGGACATCATGAGCGACGGCGGGTAATCCCGCGAACATCAGGCTGCACCCTTCCATCGGTTTGTCACATTGCCGAAGGTGACTATGTTGCACTTCATTCTCGATGCCAAGTGGAACTGTCTGAGACGCACTTGGTGTGGTCGCACGTCCGCGGACTGCCGTCTGGGAAGGAGTATGTGCTGGATGCCATGCCTACAAAGTGGAAGGATCTTGGCAATTAAATGCAGAGCGTCGTGCCGAGTAGTTGTGGTGGCGACTGGGTTGTTACACGTTTGCAGTTGGTGGGGTCGGGTCGTGTGTATGAAGATGTGGAAGCCAAATGACAGGACCTGGAGAAAGGACCGCTGGACAGGATTGAGGAACTCTTGAGGTTGAGGCAATGCTGAGTTTTTAACCGACGGGATCAGGAGAAACGGATTGAAGGGCAGGATTCGGAGTCCGTGAGACAATGCTAGCTTCCGGCCGACGGAGTGAAAGTAAGTGAACAGCCATGAGTAAAATTGGTAAGGATGCCTGCGAACCTCGACGTTGAACGGGTGTCTGCTATTTGTGGAGCAACATCAAAGTCGTAGAAATCTGAGACTGTACTCGTGTTAATGTCCGAGAAGATATTCGACATACAACAACCTGGATGTTATTTGCTATCG